GAAATGTACCCATTTTCTTGGCTAAAAGTCAAAATGTCCTTGGGCCTATTAGCAACATACTCTGTTCCAAAGCCAAAAATGTCAAAAAGTATTTGGGAGCTTGTATCTAATCCTTAAAAGATTTTAGGGTTACCTCTTCAGAGAGGGGAATGTTGGAGGGGAAGGAGTGGATCAAAACACCTTATACGCATGCATGAAATTCTCAATAAAGTTTTTGTAAAAATTAAAAAAAAAAACACTACTAAACCAATGAACAACACTTACATACCTGTATTATTAGACTTCATCTCACAAATAATAAATCTTATATTATTTAACTATGTTCCCTGTTCCCTCTAGCACCCAGATTATAAAGTCCTCCAAGGCCAAACCGGGCTTTTCACATCTACCATCTACTGTGATAGACTTAATATCTTGCCCAAAGTTGGTACTCACAATAGCTTAGAGTAGGACTGTATTTTATTCAATCAACATTTTTCAAAAATTATGTTATCTTAAGAAGTTATAGTTTAGTGAGTCCATAAATTTTGGGAGAGCGAAATGTGTATACATTAAAGGCTGCCCTTGATGCTGGCTCTCCCGGCATTCCTAAAAATGTATGTGCTAGTCAACCGTACAGAAATTAAACAAGACTCACACCAAAGAACAAAAAAAATTAACTGCCTTACTGTTAAAACTGTCAAGTATTACAACAAAATAAAGGTTCTTTAGGAATAGGTTCCTCAGATCATACACAATACATATTTGTTTATGATCAGTGTATATCCTAGTTTATATAACGTAACTATCATAAACCTATCACCGATGAACAATCATTACATAGCCCAATAAAGGAAAATCACCTGGGCAATGGTGATACATACTCATAATCTCAGCCCTTGGGAAATAGAGGCAGGAGGCTCAGAAGTTCAAAGCCAGCCTGGGATGGAGGAGACCTTCTCTCAAAAATCCGAAAATAAAAATAAAACAAAATAAATCAAAACCCTAAACAATAACAACAACAAAACCAAAACAGAAAAATCTTCAACATTAGTTAGATGTCCCATAGGACTTAACTTTAGTCAAGTTTTTGAAAAATAGGAGCTGGCTGGGTGTGGTGTCGCACACCTTTAATCCTGGCACTCGGGAGGCAGAGGCAGGCGGATCTCTGTGAGCCCAAGGCCAGCCTGGTCTACATAGTGAGTTCCAGGACAGCTGGGGCTACAGGGAGACCCTGTCTCAAAAAGACCAAAAAATAAAATTAAAAAAAACAAAAAAATATCCGGGCGTGGTGGCGCATGCCTTTAATCCCAGCACCTGGGAGGCAGAGGCAGGCGGATCTCTGTGTGTTCAAGGCCAGCCTGGCCTACATAGTGAGTTCCAGGACAGCTGGAGCTACAGGGAGACCCTGTCTCAAAAAGATAAAAAATAAATAAATAAATAAAATAAAATAAAAAACAAAATAAATAAATAGGAGCTGGAGAGATGGCTCAGTGGTTAAGAACACAGGCTGCTCTTGAGGAAGAGCAAAGTTTGGTTCCCTGCACGCACATGTGGCTAACAACCATCCTTAATTCTAGTTCCAGGGGACCTGACGCCCTCTTCTGGCCTCCAAAGGCATTGCATGTATGTGGTGCACTTGCATGCAGGCAAAAAACTTGAATACAAAATTTTTTTAAAAAGAAAATTTTTTTTTTCCAAAAATATATGTGAAATGGTACGATGTGTCATTGAGAATGAGGTGAAGGAATGGAAGCAGAGAACCAATCTCATGGGTCAAGACCAGCCTAAAATGTTCAAAGTTCTTAAATAATTTGAGAGATTTTGAATTTATATTAAATCTGGGAACCCCCCGCCCCAAGTATTTCAGAATTTCAGGAAGTTAATAGCTATCTGAACAAATGACTGCTAGAGCAAGGGAGAGAAACAAGAGATAGGGATGATCAGGAAGGAACATGGAACCTCAGCTACCGACGTCATTCTTAGATGATGTCATAAGGTCTCATTCAAGCTGGACTTTGAATTAAGACAGGAAGATCAAGGTTGGTAAGAGCTCATGGTAAATCTAGGAGAGGCAGGAGGTAAGATTAGCTAAGTAGATTAAGCCCACATTGCAGTGGCAAGGTGCAAAGGACAATGAAATGGAAATTAGAATCCCTGAAATCAAAATTCTGGTTTTGCTATTCAGTTTGCAATTAACCACAGATATAGTTAGACCTGAGTAATATTCTACACAATGATATAAAAGGTAACTTACTCAATATCTTTTCGTACTGATCCCATGAGATTCTCCCTTTCCCGTATTGCCGTAAAGTTTGCTTTGGTTTTATGGAATTCATGTGTATAATCCTGCAATAAATCAACATCCAGTCTCAACACAAGCTAATTATGTATTTCCATCTAACTGGACTAGTTGTATATTGTCATCACATTGCAAATTTCAACCACTATACTTTCTACCATCTAGTACCTTATCATATAGGGCAGAAGTATAAAGACAAAATTCTAAGACAAAATGACTTCAAATAGCCCGAGGTAAAAGAGGGAAGATTTTTTTACTCAATGGTATACTTAATGAGGCTCATGGCTGACTTTTTTTCAAATTCATTCATTCTCATTCTTTCCCCATCCCCCTCAGTGCTAGGGATCTAACTCAAGGCTTTACAAATGCAAAACAAGTGCTCTACCACTTAGCTATACCTTCATCCTTGGCTACTCATTTTTAAACAAGTTTATATTTTTTGTACATTTTCCTATTAAACTATCTTTCTTATCTATATTACTTCTGTATATATTAAACAAATTAGTCATTTGTTGTAGTTTCTGGTATTAGATCTTCCTTAAAAATTTGCAAATTTCATCCATGCTCTATTCTGAACTTTCCAGGCTTTTCTTTCCTTTCTTTCCTCCCTACTCCCTTCCAGTGCTTTTTCTACATTGTCAGTAGAGCAGCTGCTGTCCAAACACGGAGGACCTGAATTTGGTCTCAGAACCACAAAAACCTGGGCATGATAGTATGCCCTTATAATTCCAGTGCTGGGGAGATGAAGACAGGAGGAACCCTGGGGTCATTGGACAATCAGTCCAGTCAAACTGGCAAGCCCCAGGTCCCAGTGAGAGACTTTGCCTCAAAAAACAAGGCGATGGTTCCTAAGGAACAACTACTCAAGACTGCCCTCTGCGCCCCCCCCACCACATGCACCTGCACCTACACACACACACACACACACACACACACACGTATTTTTTTTTTTCAGACAGGGTCTCCCTGTAGCCCCAGCTAGCCTGGAACTGCTATGTAGACCAGGCTGGCCTCAGTATCACAGAAATCCATCTGCCTCTCCTGAGTGCTGGGACTAAAGGCACTCACCACTACGGCCAGCTTGTATGTGTATTTTTGTCTCATCAATTATCAAGAATCAATTATCTTTTTTTTTTTTTTTGGAGACATGGTCTCACCATGTAGTGAGTCTGGAACTTACTATGTAGACCAGGCTAGACTCAAAGTCACAGAGAGCCACCTGCCTCTACCACCCAAGTGCTAGGACTAAGGTATGCACCACTACACCCAGCTAAAATATTTTTATTACTTTTATTTGTGTGTATATGTGTATGTGTAGGTCCACAATGTGTGTGGAGGTCAGAAGACAACCTGCTGGAGTCAGTTCCCTTTTTCCACCATGTGGATCCCAGAGATTGAACTCTGGTCTTTAGACTTGGAGGCAAGTGCCTTTACCCACTGAGCCATTTAGGTCAGCCCCTAGAATTAAACTATCTTAACTATTCTAGTTTTAAAAATATTTTATTATTTTTATTTTATGAGTATATTGCCTGCATATGTGTAAATGTATCTGTGTCATGCAATGCTCATGGAAGACAGAAGAGGGTGTCGGAGTCCCTGGAACTGGAATTACAGTTTTTAGCTGCCATAAGGGTTCTGGGAATCAAACCCCGATCCTCTGCAAGAGCAGCCAGTGCTCTTAACTGCTGAGTCATCTTTCCAGCCTCCTATTCTAGCTTTTTATAGGTTTTAACATCTATTAAATAATTTGGCATCATTTTGCTATATTAAAAACAAATAGAGAAAGTCAGGTATGATGGTACACACCTGTAATTCCAGTGCTTGAGACGGAGAGGCAGGTGGATCTCTGTGAATTTGAGGACAGCCTGGTCTACATAGCAAGTTCCAGGCCAACCTGGGTTATATAGTGAGATTCTGTCTTAAAAATAAATAAATAAATCCCCAAAATAAAGTAAATAATTTTAAAATAGAAAACAAATAGCTAGACATTGTGGCGCGTGCCTGCAATTCCAACACTCGAAGGCTGCAGTGTTGAAGACTGAGAGTCACAGACAAGTCTAGACTATAAAACTAGACCTTTCTTCAAACACAAACAATTTCCATTATATAGATTCCTTTACTTTTGTGGTACAGAGATTAAACACAGGGCCTCAATAAAGCTGTCACTAAGCTGCTCTCTCTCCCCAGCCCTTCAGTTAAATTTTCTAACATGTCACTGTTTATATGGACAATGGCTTGCTTTTATGTAACATAATCCTGAATTCAATTGTTTCTAACTTTCTTCAGTTACATTTCTTGTGTATATCAGACATATGATCTTATTGTGTCATATATTATGAATTTCGCCTTTCTTTAAAATATTTCTCTCTGTTTTTTTGCTGTTATTGTTTTTACTATCTGACTATACCACCAAGAATTCCAAAACAATCTCAGACATTTATGATAGTTAGAGGTATCCCTGTCTTGGTTTTTCTTTTTTTTTTTTTCAGGGTCTTATGTAGTACAGTCTGGCCTTGAACTTGCTACGCAGTCAAGGACAAACTTGAACTTCTGATCCTCCTGCTTCTAACTCCTAAACGCTGGGATTACTGTCATGCACCATCATGCCCAGTTTTATGTGGAATAACAACGGAACCCAGGGTTTGTGCATAACAGGCAAGCACTCTATCACCTGCGCTGTAGTTCCACCCTATTTTTTTCTTTAAAGAGAATGCTTCTAGTGCTTTATCATTGGCCAGCCTAGCTTTCAATCTGATATTCATATTTTTTGTATTATGAAAGTATCTTTTTATTCCATGTGTGTATGTGTATACGAGCATGTAGGTTTCTGGAGAGTGAACCCAGGGTCTTGCGCCTGCTAAGCACACACTTGAGCACTGAATTATAGTCCTATTCCTTTTTATTGTTTTACTTTTCAAGGACTCACTATGTAGCCCTAGCTGGCCTTTACTTTGTGGCAATCCACCTGCCTCTGTCTCCCAAGTGTTGAGGTTACAGGCATGTGCCATCATACTCAGATTCACATCTGTGTGCTGGCAAGATGGCTTAGCAGGTAATGGTGCTTGCTGAGAGACCTGAGTTCAATACCCACAACTGACATGGCAGGAGAGAACTGAGTCCTGCAAGTTATCCTCTGACTTCACACATCATGGCGTGTGTGTACCCCTCAACACAAGTAAATGTAAAAAAGAAAAGTTAAAAAGAAGATTCCTATCTGTGTATGTCCTATGCATATATGTTCAGAGAAATGGATGCTGCTATCTTCCTCTACTGCTCTCCACCTTTTATTGAGACAGGGTCTTCCACTGAACCTGAAGTTTGCAATTTTGGCTAGGCTGGCTGGCCAGCTCCTGGGGATCATTTGTCTCTATCCCCACAACCACTGGGTTAAGAAGTATGTATGACCATGCATGGCTTTTATGTGGGCGCTGGGGATTTGAACTTGGGTCCTCTTACTTTCACAGCAAGTGCTCTTACCCACAGTCATCTCTCTAGGTTTCATTTGTTATTGTTGCTGTTGCTTTGAGTCAGGGTCTCACTATGTAGTCCTCAAACTTAGAGCTCTGCCTGCCTCCACCTCCTGGTGTTGAGATTAAAGGTGTGTGCCACCACCTCCTGCTTCTTATTCCTATTTAAAATTTTTTTTTAATTTTAATTTTTTAAAAATATTTTTATTTATTATTTTTATGTGTTCATGTGTATTGCCTACATGTAGGTAAGTGCACCAATGTCATGCAATGCCAGGGAGGACAGAAGAGGCTGTTGGATCCCCTGGAACTGGAGTTACGGACAGTTGTTAGCTGCCATGTGGGTGCTGGGATTCGAACCTGGGTCTTCTACAAGAACAACCAATGTTCTTAACTGCTGAGCCATCTCTCCAGCCCCTTATGTCTACTTTTAAAATGGGTTTTTTTAATAGAAAGGAAATAGTTGATGAATTTTCTCAATAATAAAAATGTCTGCCTTCCAATTTGCACTTCTGCATTTTAACTCCCCTGACAAATCTTTAAGAGTTTAGTTTCAATATACTTGTGACGTTGTCTCAAACAATATACTAAACATAATTACTCCCCTTCTATGTTACCTTGATAACATAAAAATATTGGGCCCAATACACTACCTGCAATATGTCTCTATGTCGCTGCAACGTATGCATCAGTGCTGCATTCAACGAGGGGACGCCCGCACTGTTGGTATATTCTGCCATTTTATCATTTACTCCTGTAAGCTAGGAAGGAGAAAATATTGTAAAAAGTACTATAAACACCCAAAAGTTAATTATTTGCCTATATGACTGCCTGGCTGACAGTAAACAAAACAAAACCCAGTGAATCAGCAATTTCCCCAAATAATATATAAAAGCTATAAAACATCTGTTATGACTTGGGGATGGCTGCCATCAAAACTCAAGTGGTCTGAGGAGGAACATGCCTTGAATGAACAGATGATTTTAATACACAGTAATGCAGTACCCTATCTAACAAATAGCATAGCACCACTTACCCAAAGCACTTACCCTAGCCAAAAGCTGTTCAATTTCAATTGCCATTGTCTCAAACATTCTGTCTTGGCTTGATCCATTTAGTAGGGGTGTTGTGTCAGAACTAAAGAGAAGTTCAATTAAAGGCAATCCATTACTCAGTCCTTTAAAACATACTTAAAATAAAAAGGCAATGTTTCTTAAAGAAGTCTAGGGAAGCCGGGCGTAGTGGTGCACGCCTTTAATTCCAGCACTTGGGAGGCAGAGGCAGGCAGATCTCTGTGAGGTCAAGGCCAGCCTGGTCTACATAGTGAGTTCTAGGACAGCTGGGGCTACAGAGAGACCCTGTCTCAAAAAAACCAAAAAAAAAAAAAAAAAAAAAAAAAAAAAGAAATCCAGTGAACTCTGAAACAGTCCCTCTAGTTCTTCAAAAATTAAGATTTTTATGGTCAGTGAGGTGGCTCAGTAGATAAAGGTGCCTGCTGCCAAGCCAAGGTGACATTAGCTCAATTCCTAGGACCAACATAGTCAAAGAGAAAACTGATTTCTGCAAGTTGTCCTCTAACAGTGCATGTCCTTTACAGCACATAGATAAACAACTTGTAACTTAAAGAATTTTTAATTGGGATTTTTGTATGTTTTTCAACTTTCTGTTTTTCTATTTTTTTATTATTATTATTATTATTATTTTTGTCCTGGAACTCACTATGTAGACCAGGCTGGCCTCTGCCTCTCGAGTGCTGGGATTAAAGGCATGCACCACCATGGCCGGCCTATGTTTTTCTATTTTAAAAAAAAACTCTACATGTCCTACTATTGGAAGTAAATATGGTATAAAATATAAATGAATGTAAAGAAATTCTAAATACTTATGTATTATTCCCCCAATGATAGAAAATAATGTAAGTTATGGCAGTGTCTAGTTAAACCCTAAGCTTGAAAGAACAAATTATGCAAAAGAAAGCCAGAGAACTCTTTATATGTGATAGGTAGAGAATGGGCGGGAGCGAGCAGCACGGATGGAGAGCACGAGCGGATGGATGAAGGCACCGAGGCACAGATGGACACAGATTTATTTCGCACGGGGCACCTTTCCCTCAGGAAGGGAAAGATGTCCAGGAAACATGTCCACGGGTTGTGAGCTGGGACTTTACATATGGGGGCTTTAGGGTGTGGAATCAGGGAGGGGGAAGCAGGTAGGATTAGGGTGTGGAAGTGTTTCCTTTTTCCTCTTAAGATAAGAGGAACTCTGCTTATCTTTGGAGGTCAGAGGAAAGGCAGGCTGCTTCTCAGCAGAGTTTGTAGGTCCCTGTTGGGGAGGGAGGGGGGAGCTGCTATTTGGAACCCTAACAATATGAAGCTATAAAATGGATTGTAGATTATGTTACAAGGCCTATGAGAAATAATCATTTAAGTTTCCCTCCAAAATTATGGTTCCTTATGCCTTCAAGTTCTCTTTTCTTTTATTGACTCTTACGAAGAAATAACACTGAGATTTAAATGACCTGGAGTGGATAACTAGTTACTAGACCATCAGGAGCTAGCAATCCCTCCACACAGACAGCCACATCCAACATATTTTCATACTAACCCTCATTTCCATTCATAATGCACAATCACCTCATACTATTTTGCAAAAATAGAACTGTCCCCCCCCCCCCCCCCCCCCCCCTCTTT